GAAAACAGAATTGTCTGTCTCCCACAGGTACATGCTCATCAGGTTTGAGAGGAAATTTCATGACAATTCCTGGTGGAAATCCACCATTGATTTCTTTCAGATTCAAGACGAGATTCCCTGCATGAAAAGAAATTACTGTGCTCCTTAGTTGTACACAGGTGCATGTATTCCATACAGATTAGACTGATGCTGTAGGCCCTTGAAGAGATTAAGGGCTCCTTTGCCCAGGGGCATGATTAAGACTTCGGCTCTGGAGCAGCACTGAAAGGAAGCAGTTCCAAGCTGCTTTAGTCCCAACATTTGACATTTGTGTTTTCCTGGTTTTCTTTTAGCAGTTAGCCATGTTCAAGTAGTTGCAAGGTCACTTAAAAGCTGTGGGCCATTTAGGATTTACTTGTTAGAAAGACCTTTAAAATGCTGGTTCAGCTGTCCAATCCCACCCTCCACTTGGGGTAGAGTTTCACCCAAGGACCTGTTTGTGACTGGGATATCTTGCAGGGGCTTTGAGCTTGTTTGTGTCTGCGTTGTACGTTGGTACGGTCTTGAGAAATGGGACGGGTACAGGGTCATGGCAGGAAAGAGAAATCAACTTGCCAGGATTAAAATGTTGCCTGATCTCCTCCACTAGACTTCACAGAACTAATTGGCCCCCGCTCCATGGAGGTCATGCCGGGAGCTCCTACAGCTGAGTGCTGTATTGATCGTGTAGGGCTTAAACATGGGAGAATAAAACCTTCCTGCAGATATATGGGGAACAGGTCAACTCTAGTCCTTTGAAGACAAAAAAGATGAATAAGCACCAGAGCAATAAAGATTGAACAGCTAGTCATCATCAGGTTGCAAATGGAAAACATTCTATTAATCGCAACCGGTGTGGATTGATTTTTTCGTACATTGAGTCTTAACCTTCTTCCTGCACTGCAGTGCAGTGTTAAAACGGTTAACCAAACGGTTATATTAGCAAGGATAAGGTTTCGATGTACCCAAAGACAAAATAATGTAGAGTTGATTAGATGTACACTTGTATTTCCCCATAGTTTAGTTTTCAAAACGTGAACAGAACCCAAATCTGGCAGTTTTCCGGGTCTTTTTCAGATCCAGCACTTTTACATGGTAAACTAGAGTTCCACGATCTCATACCTTCGCCAAATGATGTTAGCCTTTATGAGTAAGAAATTACATGTATAGATTAATCCCCCTGATTGTGCAAATAGGATCCTATATTTGCATCAATTATATCTGTTGATCATATTCTACACCAGAAGACAGTCTTATCTTATCAAAGAATGCCATTATAGCATTTCCTCATAAATTATGCAAATGAGGTCCTTATTTGAATAAGTTATGTTTAATTATGTTCACCTTCACACAACTTTCAAATATCCCAAGTATGAAATTCCAGGCAGTTACCACTATGTAAATATAACATTTTCTCATTAATTATGCAAATTAAGTCTTCATTTGCATAATCGATATCTGCCTGTATTTCTGCCATTCTTAATTACATATGTCACAAGCTTGAATAGTCCTATCATGGAATGCAGCTGATTTATAGAATTTCCTCATTAATTATGCAAATTACATTAATATATGCATAATTATAATATTATTATGTTAAGCATCACTTCAGCTACCTACATGCCAAAAATCACGACGATCCATCAATCGGTTCTAGAGTTATCAGCCTTTAAATATTTTTCAACTAACGCCTCTGCAGTTCCAGAGCAAGCCGCTAGGGAGGCCAAACTCACATCACTTCTTCCCCAGCACAAGAGCTACCTACCATCCAAATTTCGTCACCCTAGCATGTCTAGATCACGAGATATCAAAACAGGAAGTTCAGCTGCAGTACCATAACAAGCCGCTAGGGGGCCCAAAATTTAATCAGTTCCACGTCTCATGAAGACCTATCCACCTACCAAATATCAAGACAATCCATTTTAGCCTTCTTGAGTTATCGTGCTGACACACACACACACACACACACACACACACACATACACAGACACACGAACGCCTACGAAAACATAACCTTCTTGGCGAAGGTAAAAATACAGTGCACTGTAGGCAGTACAAAATTTTGTTGGGAGGAGGATATTTGAACCCCTGTGAGCACTGGGGACCTTTGGCCCAACCAGCCTAATGGAGCTGGTTGAAAACTTAACCCTCTGAAATACTATTTTATGGTGCATATTTTGCTGGTATGCAAAGCTAATTTCAACGTCTCATTTAGTAACATTAAATCTTTGTACCATTTTGCACCTCCCAGTGCTATAGGTACACATGTACTGTACATCTACATGTATATGTATATTCCTAAAATATATGGTTGTTCCTTCTCTTTTACAAACATGCATGTACATGTAGATAATAACAGTAACTCTCCTTATGTTTTCCACATACAGCTTTTGTGATCTACAACTTCCTGAGCCTGTGTTACGAGTACCTGGGAGGGGAGAGTCAGATCATGTCTGAGATACGAGGCAAGCCTATCGAGTAAGTACACTTAGCCATGATTTATAAGTAGTTTGTCAGGCTATGTTTCCATTAAGCTAGGAAAGTGAGCCATACAATATGCCCCTGCAAGATATGAGACGGTGTTGATGGCTATGTGTCATGATTCTGATATTGCAATTTTGCTGAAGTTGTTGGAGGTAACTTGTATGCTGTTATTATAGAGCAATTGTGCCGTGTTGTATCTCCTGAAGGACTGAACATCATGAGAAATGGGTGATTGTGCAACCAATTTCACCAGTATGTACAAGGGTCACAGAGGGTAGTATATTATATGTGAATTTTAATCTGAATGATCAGGTACGTCCATTTTGAGGCCAATGTAATAGTTTGCTGGCTGCTTACGTCAAAAAACAAATTCCATTGACTGGAGAGTCTCTAACCTCGTTGAAAAGCTGGAGAGGTAGGAAACCTTGTAGTTGTAATTTATTCAAATGTGTGCCTAGGAAGCAAGTATTGAGTGTTCTTAGATCTTTTATGGTACAAACCTCATAGTGTTGTTTGAAATCAGTGTCATGTACATTGTATTGTTTAACCCACATTACACATGTCCCCCTCATCGTCTCCACAGGTCCAGTTTTTTCTACTGCACATGTTGCCTAGCAGGCAGACAGTACACCATCGGATTCTTGCGCTTCTGTAAACAGGTAAGAACATCTATAGTGACCATCGAGAGGGGCTGGGAACAACATATTAGAAGTTGCTGCTTGATATCATTCGTAATGTGTTTTATACCCGATATCATACTTACTTACTTAGGCCTACTGCCCATCCTTGGGCACAGGCCACAGGCTTGAAATCATGCACTAAGGAAATTGATCTTGCCTTCTGCCTAACTAGTTCACTTAGTATTTTGAAAAAGGGATGCCACTATTTTTTTTACCACCACTTTGAATAATTCTTTCTTTACAAACAGAATTCGGCAAAGGTTGCACCAAATTGGCAGTGCCTTATGATGTCATTTCTCTTAGTAATACATAGCTCTTGTGTGCTTTTGAAAGAAGGGAAGCAGTATTCATGTGGATTTATAAAACATGTTGGTGTTCATGCATGGCTGGTCACCTAATGTAGCAGAAAATTGTGCATGAATATGATCTGTGGTGCTTCACATGTTCCCAC